TTCTTATTTCAAATAATTAAATAATTTATTCAATTTTCTTATTTTGTTATTTTAGATTCTGAGTGAAACGATGAATGTATTGATTTTACAATGATGTGTGTTTTTTTTTTTATTTTTTTGTATCTGTGTACACGATAAGTAGTCGAAATAATGCTTCGATTTTTGACTTCAGTATCTTGTTCGATTGGAAAGTGAATATCGTTGGTGCATTGGGGAGGTCAAAATTTAAAATTCCCAGTACTTTTCAAAAGCGCCAAGAAAAACAAAAGAAAAATTAAGGAAAAACGGGAATTTTTACGCAAAATCGATTTTTCAGAAAATTGAATTTGGTTTTTGGTGTAACTTTAAAACAAATTACCGTAGATACATGAAATTTTCACTGGTTGTTTATATTTGCATTTTCTATACACGATAACATTTTCAAAATATTTTGATTTATTTTGAACTGTTTAGGGACATTTTCATTTTTCATTTTTTTTTTAGTTTTTTTCTAGAAATATCAATAAAATTTTATTTGTAGGTTAAAAAAACTTGAAAATTTAATAGAAGGCTCCTAGTATATTGTTTCAAAGGCAGATGAAAAATATTAAAAATCGTTAGTCACAGTTTTTTTTATAAGCATTTAAAGTTCAAAAATTGACAAAATATGGAAAAATCACGAAAATTAGCAAATTATTTTGAGGTAAGAATTCGTAAAAATTTTTCTTTTTAAATCTAAGATTTGAAAATGTAATACAAGATTACTCATAAGTTTGTCTACCTTTATCAATAAAAAAATCTCTACCGGACAGTCAAATTAAATTTTTATGAGCGTTTGAAATTCAAATTTTTACAACATTGGATGTTCACTCGATTTCTCATGTAGCGATTTCCTTATTTTGTTGTTATTCATAAACGAATAACTATAGATACATGAAAATTTCACTGAATGTTTATATTAGCATTTCCTATACACCATACAATTTTGAAAATATTTTGACTCTTTTTGAGTTGTTTATGGATATTTTCATTTTTCAATTTTTTTAGTTTTTTTTTCTATGAATATCAATAAAGTTTTATCTGTTGGGCCAAAAAGTGTAAAAATTTAATACAAGGCTCCTGATATATTGTTACAATATCAGTTGAAAAATATTAAAAATACATAGGCACAATTTTTTTTTATAAGCATTTAAACATCGAATTTTGACAGAATTTTTCAAAATCTCGAAAATGATTAATCATCGTAATTAATAAATTATAAAATGTTCAGTTTTTATAGCTAAGGATTGAAAATGAAAAACAAGATTCCACGTAAGTAATTAATTCTCTTACCGAAAAATCTAAAAAATATACAATCACTGTTTATTTTTATAGTCATTTTATGTTCAAATTTGGACGAAATTACATATTAAAAAACCTAGTTATTTTGTTGTGATTATATAATATTATTCGTGGGTACCTACTTGAAACTTCTAAAGTGTACTATTATATACCTATGATAGTATCAGGGTTTGTTATTGATGTTGATGTATAACATGTTATAAGTACCTAATGGATATTGTGATAATGTGATATGATTAATTTGGAATTTATTATAAGTCAATTTTTTTTTAAATACCATAGATATGTATATAATTTGTCTTAAACCTAGACTGACATACCGTCTTCGCTCAGAATCGTTTTTCTTATACAATGATATTATATCATTGAATTCAAATTTAATAGCATCCATTATACAGTGACCAACTTGTAACCTACTGTACAGCAGAGCGACATCCACTTACCCACCTTTTTATAATCTTATTTGTCATGGTAATTAGTTCACATATTACTTGATAATTAATAAAAAAAGATTTCTTAAAGTATCTATGTTTTAATGTATATATATGAACTATTTTAACCTCCAACATTTAACAAAAAATATAAAGTAGGTACTTCAATAGTCAATACATACACTACTATGCAAATACCAATTTAAAAATGTATTGAATTAAAAATTTAAAATGTACTAGTTAAATATAAGGTAGGTAATCAAAAGTTTTTATTTAAAACAAATTGTATTCCTACTGATATCAGTGCAATTGTATACATTTTTGTTAACTTTTTCAATATTAAAAGATTTTCAATCATTTACTGTATGGTGCATAAACAGATATTCTATAAAAAATCAATATTTAGCTCATAAAGAAATTATTATTTTTGTATATCATATTATCATTATGAATATAGTTGTTGAAGGTCTTAGGTCTGTGATTAAACATTTTCTTACATATTACATAAGGTACAAAAAAAATATTTGATATTATTCTTAAAACATTTTTAACTATTCAAAAGTTTGTAAATATTATATGTTTAGACGTTTAGAGCATACAATATAAAACGATTAAAACGTATGTACTATATAGCTAATAGCTATATTATGTTATATGATACGAAAATATTAATATTTCATTTAAATAACCTCAGCATTTGTTGAAACAATTTTAGCCCATGTAAAAAAAATATTTGCCCCACTCTGCCCCCCCTGGAAAAAAATTCTAGTGCCGTGCCTGCGTCAGTTACACTATCTACGCTACCTATACCATTAATTTAAGTTACCTATCAATTATAATAAATTGTCATTAATCTAAATGTTTTGTTTCAACTAACTATTATATATAACAAATGTGGTCTGTACATAATTTAATTTTAATTTATATACATTATATGATATTATGATCAATGAACATGTTTAGTTTATACAGATTGCTTTTTTTACATAGGTACTACAAATTGCAATTATATAATTAATATATTATTTTATTTATATTTATTTTATAAACATTATGGACAACATCAACTTCATATTATATGTGTTATATGTTTAAAATTAAAATAAGAAAATACATCAATATTAACTATATAATCAAAACTATTTAAAATGTAGCTAATATTTATTTAATAGATTAAATTATCGTACAAACATTGCTTCATGTCACTTATAAGTTACAACGTAAAATACGTTACACTTTTACTAAAAAATCTATTTAATTCTAATGAAATTATTATTTTAATTGTATTTTAAGAAGTAGATAATTGGGTTAGATATATAAATCGAGTTATGGATTATAATAATTGTTATGCTTAATTCATTGGTTAATATTTTTATGCAAACAGGAGCTTTAATCAAAAAGTAGGTTTGCGACGTATGAGCTAGGAGGCAGCGCACCATGTAGAATTCATAGGCGACAATTTACGCAATGGTCTGTAATGACGCGAAACGTCCTGTACGACTGTCCGTGAAATAATAATGTACCTCTCCCGCGATTACAACAAGCGCGCCGCGTCACGTACACGATGGGCGTGGTTACGGCCTACCGCGACGGCGGCGATACGGCGCACAACGCCATCTCTTGAGCGTTGCATTCGTTTCACTTTTACTATGACGGCCTCTTAATACTTATTAAGTAGGTATTACATTGTACATAAATGATTACTTAAGATATTTCTAAAAGTATACAGGTGATTCACCAGGAATAACTTTTTCTTAAATAATTAATTACTAAGTTCAAATTCTTATTTTTGCAATTTATAAGCAGTTATACCTAGGTAATTTTTTCAAATAATTTAACTTTTATGCCATACAAGAAATGCCCTATAGGGCATTATAAGTTCTTTTTTTTCAAATGAAAACCACATAGCTTTACAGTGAACTGTTGAATAGATAGTTTTTTTTAATTTTAATAAATCGGAGTTCCTATTACGATAAGTACTTTGGTACTATATTTGAGTTATTAAACTTTTATCTACTGTGATAACATAAGTTTAAAGATATGGAGGCTATGGCCAGCTATGGTTGGTTATAGTAGTTTTAAAAATACATATAATTTATAATAAATTTAATATATTTTAGCATTTTATAACTTATTAAATTAATAATAAGTAACCTACAAGAGATTAAATATAAAATATATTTTATATTTAAACTATTTAAGTTTAATAATTATGATTTTTAAACTAATCAATCAATAAAAGATAGGTTGTTGAATAACTATGCTTGGTGAAACACCTTGTATAATATTCTTATGGGTTTTGTAAAAATTCCACATCAAGTTTGCGAGTAAAATATAATATAATATTACAAGCGCACACAAAACACGTACGCCTACTAAATATATTACAAGACAACAATATTATAAATAATAAAACAAAATAGAAAAAATAGTAATACAAATGACATGTGGTCAGGTCGGACGACACTGATATCGAAATACTATCTATATACAGGGAAATCTATATAATATGTGCAATCCAATAAAATAATAAAAAACAGTAATTTAAATATCAACGAAGAGTCTATATGTAAGATATAATATGACACAATATATAGATATCATATTAGATGGATGGACTGCAGATAGTCCCAGAGAAATGTATAAATCAGCAAAAACAGAGTTATTATTAACAGTGGTCACACAGAAACAAAATATAAAGAATAAGTCACAATATAATAGACGAACCCGCGGTCACAACTTGCGGCGGCATCTTCGAAAAGTCGCCGTAACCTTTGTATGTCACCCGGAAATAACGGTGCGCGCCATTTTTTTGGTACTCTGCACAGTATATTGTTACGTATTATACATCATTATTATAATATAATCTGTATTTCGACTAACGTGTTTTGCAAAACAACAACAATATAAACAAATGTAATACATTATACATTGCAAGAACATTATATATATACTAAGGTATAAATATTCAATAGTATAAGTATAAATTAAAGTACCTTTACGTAATATATTTTAATATAGGTAATAATATATAAAAGTTGTAAAACCTATAGTTTATAATATTGTATTGGAGTGTATTTGACACGCATTGTGTTGTTCCTGTGTGTGTTTGTGTGGAATGATAACGAGTAGGTATATAAGTATTTATAAAATATAATTATATACGTACAAAAATATTATATTATATTATATGATATAGGTGGTATTTATATATGTATAATCGTACTTGTAATAGTTCGTCAAACTTACTTCTGTGGGGCGACGACAATCGAGGTGGGCTCGGATTCGGATTCTGTGGTGGTGAGGTCGTCGACACTCATACGATCGCCCCAGGCCGTCGCTTGCAGGTACGATGTCCGTCTGGTGGTCCTTTCTTCTTCTATACACAACACAAGTTTATTATTACCATATAATATTATATTGGATATATAAATATTATATATGTCATGCGGAGAAGGTAAGGTCAGGTTTTCGGGTATAAATCAGAGATCTGCGAATCAAAAACCTATGTTTTGCGTTTTTCTAACTCGATTGCAATTTGCAGCATCCCACTAGATTCAGAATTTTCATCACAAAATTTCAGTTCATACGATTTTTCTTGATGCATTTATGGCATATACGTCAAAGACTTCGGAGAAAAACCGATGTCGACGCGTCTTGAGATCGAGTTAGAAAAACCTCAAGATATAGGTTTTATTCGGTCATTCGATCCAAATCGAAACCTGGAAGGGATCATGCCACGCAACTTAATAGAGTAAATTTCAAAAAGGATAGCGGTAAAAATGTAGAGTTCCCCTCACCATTATCAAAACTCGAGTTAGTCGGTCTCAACGTGATCATTTCACACGGTTTTTGAAGCTCGGCGGCTGCGGCCACAGTTTCCGTATCGTCTGAAGACACTACGGCAACAAAGAAATAAAGATATTCGTCAGCGTCAGCGCGTCAACGCGGAAACAGAGTATTGTACATTAAATGTACATAATATTATATTTTCGATGTATGATATATACCTATATAATAATCATACATACTCTGAACCAAAAAAAGCAGTGTTATTGTGAGTTTGTCGAATTGTTATTAGGTATCATTGGTTATAGTATAGTATATTATATAGTGTGTGCAGATGTCAGGTGCAAAACAAATCGCGGAAAACGCTGCACAACTGCTGCAGCCATGCGCATGCAAAATAGGAAAACATACATATTATTATGTAATATGTATTAAAGCGGCAGAGGCAAGCTAAATATCGTATAGGCATTACGTTTTATTATTTCTAATCCAGTATAGGTAACTGTAACACCATGGCACTACGCACTGAAGTAAGCGGGCCACCGGGGGAAGGGGGAGGGAGGGGCACACCGATTGATCGGTGTAACTGAAGTTTACTATATAAGTATACTATATGGTTTCAAAATTATGATTACAGCGTAATTTATATACGTGACAACCAGTCCATATAGTAAGTATAAAGCACATAATATAATATCATTATGATAGGTAATATTATATTATAATAATATAATGATTATTGTTATTTGTTATACAGACAATATTATAATATTTTAATTAAGAATGACGTATCGTGTAGAGCAATCATGGCCGGGCGGGCCGAGGGGGTTAATAATATATTTTACTAATATTTGTTTTTCTTTTCTTAAACGATTCAATAATCAATATTAATATAACCGTGCATGAAGACGGACGAGATAATAAATATTTATACAATAATATGATAGTTTATACACACTGTAAATACAGTTTTTGTTTACATAATATATGTATAGAGATGCGCTTCTGAAGTGTACAGTTCGGAATCGACAACAAAGTGTCGCTGACATTTTAATAGAATAGAATATTATAATGTTATAATATATTATTATGTTGCGTAACGATAATATTGTATTTTAACTTTAAGGTGGGCTTACATGCTTTGATCAAACCGTCCGCCTTTGAGGCGATCGCATTCGTTCGTGTTCGGCTAGACCGTCTACATTGGTTCGGTACCATTCGATCGGGTTCAGGTTCTAATGTAAACCCATCTTTATAATGATATTGCTTATGCAATTTGAGAGATTTTAGGTAGTATGTATATACCATAACCGATAGGCGATAGCCGTAATACATCTCGTATTGATGGACAAGAAAGAGAAAAGAAAATTTGAAGTGTTTAATAAAGACATCCAGTACTCAATTGATATTACGGCGGCAGCGATATAATGATCTCTACATTATTATACCTATTATAATAGCTGAAAATATCTGTGATTAATAATTATACGACATTATATTATTATTTATTACTCGCGTATCACAATGCATGGCGATAAGTCTACAGTTCTGCGATAAATCTTCCATGCACTTTGTTAATTTGGTGAAATTTTAATCATTTTTATCATTATACGCATTATTTCATTATAGTATAAGCTTTCCCAACGCAATTATTGTATAGGTATATTATATCATAATGCTATACTATACATAATACAGTGGTTAGTATTTAGTATATTATCTTGTAATAATAATAGTGGTACGTGCTGTGTGAATATCAGCGGATCTAATCGATTACTGTTATATGCGTTTCCATGTTGTTTAAATCGATTGTAAATTAATTAAGTGTTAAGGCCTCTCAAGTCTCAAGTAGAAAGAAGAAGAAAACATGGATCATTTTCGTTTTTTTTTTTTATTATTATTGATGTCATATTATCTTCTCTCTTACTCTCTCTCTCTCTCTCTCTCTCTCACTCCCTCTCACTCTCACTCTCTCCTTCAATTTTTTTCAATCACCACTCTCCATTTCTGTATTATACACAACAGGCTAACCTTGGCTGGAGCCAGTGGACTGCGCGGCAAAATCGACAGGCCTATCCTTGGGCAGCTCGAGGCGCGTCGGTCGCGCGTTCCGCCGATGGGTTTTTGATTTTTCCGCTCCGTTTTCCATCGGCTTCTGGTTTCGTCGCTCTTCACACAATTATTTTTGTATTATTGACAAACATATTATTATATTATAATAACAATATCACATAAAAAAAATCATCATATTTTGAATGACCATGTAATAGCTAGGTACAGTAAAATGTATACATGTTATAGGTACATAATATGAACCCTGTACCGGGAACACGACAGAACCCAAATAGAATTATAATTATTATTATGACTTATAATGGATGTATGCGTATACATCCAAGCCACGCAAATATCTTTAACCAACATAATATTATATAGGTACAACCGAAAACATAATACCTACGTTTGGACTTGAATGTATATGGGTACATAGCTGGAATTGAGATTTTGTGACAACTTTCTCCTCATCAAACACAATAAAGATAAAGGCAAAATACAAAAAAAAAACCAATGTACAAAAACGATTTACGTCCGATTTACAAATGAGGTGTGCATAATGTCTTTGGTCTTTTTTCTCGAAACAAAAAACTAATTCAATGCAAATAATATATTATATATTATACTGTGTACTGGCGTAACGTTGGAAAGCAGGTCAAACCAGAAATGATTTTCGAACGTTTTTATTTAGACAATTTCGTTCACAATTGTTTTGTCTAAGACAAAATAGGTACTGTCGCTCACAATACAGTATACGTTATAGTTAAACCATATATGTATACAATATATATCTACAATATATTCAAGCGTATTATACAAATCTTGAATTAGATTGAAAAAAGAATATTAAAATGTTATGTATAATACGAAATATGTGAAATTTGAAGTGGCATGTAATGGGATACCTCGTACAGCGGAAAATAGAAATATCAATGTAAATTACGACACATAGGATTTGTGGTTAATAATATTATCAATGTTCAATCAGGTTTACATATTATTATTATTAAACTGAGCGAACCAAACGATTCCCGGTAGATGATGGAAATAATGATAACATATTTCTTATTTTATATTATTTAATATTTTGTAGTAGGTACGTCATATTATACTAATTTATCTACAACTTAATTTCTCTTATTGAAACGCGAGGCAATGAACATATTAATGTTCCACGGGAGAATAGAAATTCGATTTATTTACGAGCACCCGGCCACCGGGTTATTTTTATCCTTGGCGTAGGTGTTGAAAAGTATAAGTGAATAATAATTATATTGTGCTATCGCTAATGTCTTAGAAGTTCGAATTCGAGCATAGCTGTATAGGTACAGCTAGTAATGACATAAATGTATAAAAACTGTCATAAATAATAATTAATAAATAATTAAATGTATTATAGTTTACAAGTTAATTAATACTAGAATTATTTATCCCGCTCATGGACAATAGGTACAAAACCTTTAAATCCTATACATTTTGTTCTCAACGAAAAATATACAAATTTAAGAAGAAAAACATTTAACTCCATACGGGTTTTAATGCAATTCTCGATCAATCTACAAAAAATAGAAAAGCTGTGTCAAATGTAAGTAGGAATAGTCTTATTTTTTAAGTTGGGTAACAAAATAGTAAATTTAGTTATAAACAAAAGTTTACTTTCATTTTAATAATGGATATATTATTACGTAAAAAATTAAATTTTCAAAGATGATCAACAAAATAGACGGTAAATGCTGGTACTCGGTGTTGGCACTGTCGAGGGCTTTTACAGTTTTCTATACATAATATGAATCATTGTAATCTAAAATGGTTTCGTTATAGGGAGCATAATATTAAGTATTATGTAGGTATATTACATATACCTACACATAACATAATTATTATTCACAATATACATATTACATAGAAGCCACTTACTGACGTTCAGTTAAAATAACTATGAAATAACAGCAACAACAAAAGCAGTTCGCGAGTTTTTACGTTAATTGGGAAACGTGAGAACACAAAATAATACTATAGATATTACATAATTAACAACTAATAGTAATAATAATTACCTATATTTTATTCCAATCTAGTAATTTTGGAATTCGTATTCGGGCTCAAAATATTTTAGTAACAGAGGTAATAATTATTAATTATTGTAGTGTTTATAACATTGTAAAAAAATAATACGACGATGGCGTCCACGTTAGTGCTATTTTTATTTCGTACAGTACGGCTTGTGGGCTGCATCTCGTCTACCTGAACAGCGTCTCGTGCCGTACAGAGGGAGCTATTTTAAAATACTTTAAAGACGCACAAGCGCGCATTACCAGATACCCGGTTTCAAACAGAATTTCATTAATTATTATTATTGTTATTAATTATTATTATCATAACATCAACTCAATTTATCAGTTCAAAAAATTCATCGCAACGGAATTCTCTCTCACTGATACATCTAACTACAGGCACACTGCAGCGTCGTGGCACTGCTGTAAACTATACCAAGGCCATAATTTATCTACTGTAAACGTTACTGAAACGGAACGAAAAACCATACGATTTGCCATTGGCATTTCGGTAATAACAAAGCCAGTGTTCAAAAAATAGTAATTACACTCAGCATTCTACAATAAAATAATAAATATATAACTATATTTAAAAAAAACTAATCTACAACACAATACACAAATATTATATTATATACACTTAATCGCTTGTGTAAACCATTCTGCTACTGGATAATGCGCGATAATATTTTATATTAGAAATTATAATATAATAATATAATATACAGGCGAGGCATAAACAATATAATACAGATATAGGTATAGTGTATAGAACATCGAATCACCGGACGGCGATAGCGATGCTCACGATAGAGAATAGTTTTGAAGAATGAAGGTACATGAAAATGAAAATATAGATAAAAAACAAGACTGCGGTTCTTTGATTAGAGAATATATTAAAAATCATATCATATCATTTATATTATTATATAAATAATATTGCAGTCATTTAGCATATAAATATCAAATTAATCATGTAATATTAAACATGACTGTATACTTTAATCTAGCTGGAATATATAGTTTTTACTAGCTCACCTATGATAGTGGGTTTTTTACATGCGGCCAGGTAGGAATCTTGACGCACCACCGGTTTGAAGCGATACGATTCATCTTTAGAAATAGACTCGTCTAGAAAAATAACCCCTTTTTTGTCAAAACACTCCAAAAGATATGGTTATGGTATGTAAACAAACAAATAAACAATAATAATAATATAAATATTGGCAATGTTGCATGACAGTACACCCTTTTCATGCAAGTCTGAAATCTTATTGTTGTCCGTTCAGAATGATTTAAACCGACACAGTATAGTATGACAAAAGCTCAGAACCAGACAGTTATTATACACGTTTAATATAAAAAGAACCAAATAATATATATATATATATATATCGTTCGTACGTCTTACCTTTTTGTGGTTCATATTCTTTGGGGGGATCGCAGTGGATTTTGCTGCTGCCAATCGGTACGATTAGATTCCCAGAATGGTATCCAGCGGAGGGATTGGTGAAAGAGATAGACTTATCAGAAGAACCTGCGTGCAAGAGAAAAGTTATAAAACAAAAAAGTTTTTGAAAGTTTAATATTCTGATCGATTGTAAAATCTTCTGAATATTATGATTAGTAAACAGTCTGGAGTGTTTAACTTTCCCGGGTCGACTTCATTTCTACTTGAGGAGTACATATTAGGTATGTAAAACTCTCCTGGGTCAACATCTTGTCTACTTATATAGTAACGTAAACTCATCAGTCTCAAAAAAGGTACATTTTACAATAGGCACCCCTATACAATTGTATGAAAAATATAGAAATAAGTATGAAAAAGGTGTAGAATAAACTGTCATAAAATATTAATAAAAAATATAAAAATATATAATAATTTTCGTATATAATTTATATGAATATAGCAACTTACTCTCGTCAATGCTTATTAATTTATCTAATTAAACAAAATTACTTAGGAGAGTTGAGAATAGCATTTCCTTCAGGTGAAGCAAACCTATACTGTTGACCAGGGAGTTTACTATTACCGGATATTTTAGCACCAACAAAGCGACATCCACGTTAGTCGGAAACATTATAATATGTTAATTAATACTTATTATTATTTTTCACTGTACTCACTACTGTAGCTAGTAATCGAATCGTCAGTAATCTCTTGTTGATCCGCGGCGGCGGGTTGTTTTTTATCGGTGTAAAGTTTTTGTTCGTATTCCATTTTTCTCACAGCCACATTAGGAACATTGTGTTTAGACGTTAGTCGGGCCAACTCACTCTTGTAGAAATCTGTCTTGTCGTCGATTTTGCCGCTCTCGAACTGTTTGGCCCTCATGGAAACCACTTGCGGCATGCCTGCCTGTTTCGGGTGATGGTGGTCGGCCGTCTCAGCAGCCGTTGCAGGTGACTTTCCAGCGCTGCCGTCCTCGTGAATTTTTCCCAAAGTGTTCACAAACTGTTTGCCTTTAGGCTTGGACGCGGTTGGTGGTGGCTGAGCGGGAGATGACGTTTCTACCGCTGCAGAGCTGCACTCCGGAAATTGTTGCGGCTGGTTGACCGACGATGACGAGAGCGAAGGCGGCCACATGGGTGGCAACAGTTTTTGTGGCCTGGCGTAGAACTCTTTGGCCGGTTGCTGCTGCTGCTGTTGCTGGACCACGGGACGACGGAGGAACTCTTCCTTCTGTTCCAGGCTTTTTTTTATCCGGGACATGATGACGGGGTCAACGGGCGGCGGTGGCTGCGACGCACCACCGTACTGCAGGTGACGTTGGAGCCGGTAATGGGCCGCCGAGTTGTCGGCTGCCACTTGCAGTTGCAGTGCGTCGCGGCACGCCACCCCTATGTCCATGCTGTGTCGGGCGTTTGGATTGTTGGACTGTGCTACCGTCGGCTTGTTCCGATGGTGAGGGTAGCCGCCACCACTGCCGTTCGTATCGGTGACGGACGACCGCCGGACGCCGGGCGTGCGGTGGGGTGACACGAATCTAGCTGCAGCCGACGTCGGTTTCGCACCACTGACACTGACACTGGTACTGGCACTGCCAATGCCACTAACGGCGCTACGGTGTTGGGGGTGATCCCAGATGGTCTGGTAGATGGGACTGGAATCGCGACCACGGTGATGATGGAAACGCAATTCACTACCAGATGTCATAGCCGCTTTCAGGCGGCCAGGCCTCTGGTTCGTTTCGGGATTGTGAGCTGTCTCGCTGAAATACTGCGTACACACGCCAAATGCACGGTTATTATTAAAATATAATACATCAAATATCTTATCATATTCTAAATATATTAAGGGGATCGGTCCCCTAATCGCTTGGCTCAAGACCCTCCCCCCCTTAGAGGCTTCACCATCGACCCCATTTGAAATTTAAAATTTAATATCTATAACTCAAAATATTTAAAAATAAAATATGGATGGAAGAAAAAAATATAAATTTGTTTTTTGAATTATTTAGTTGTAATAATTTTTCATTTATGTTTTGGTTGGTATGGAAATTATTTCATACGGAACAATATTATGTGGAAGAAAAAATGTAGGTACCTACAAAACTTTTTTTTATATACCTAATAGAGATATAGTATAATATAGTTTGTAACACGCAACTATAATTTTACAGTTCTGCGGATGAAAGTCGACGATGAAACGATATAGCAAGGTCTAAAAAACGCAATAATAAATATAATATCTATAGCTGGCTGCAGTATAGACCACACGATATTATTCACGCTATACGCTAAAGTAACTTTTATATTTATTACGTATTACTCTTACACCTTTTCTCGTACATAGAATAATTAAATTAGTGAATCGTGCGTGAGTCATAACAATATGTATATAATATGCTGGAATAATAATATATGAGTAGGCAACAGTAGACAGTTATACTGTATAATATATATATATATATATTGTATACTCACCAACTGTAGAATGTCATTTTCCATAGGCACCACGAGCAAATAGAGATGGCATTGCGTTTGCTGGATGACCTGCACGACGTGTGCGTACGACTTACCGGCCACCGTTTCACCGTTGACGCTGATTATGCGGTCGCCAGTACTGAGACCAGCTACACTAGCCGGACCGAATTCCCTGACGTGTTTCACAAATATTGTGTCCATCGGTTCGTCAGAATAGGCGCCAGCGCCCTGTCGCAAGCCCAACCGTTCGTCTCCGGCCAACACCTGTAGTCAACATAATACATTAATGGCGGCGAAAAATAAAAAAAGGTAACATTGCATAAAGTTAAAATGCCCAACGTTATTAACAATAGTCAATTCGTTTTTATATAATATATAAATGTGGAATTACTGTAGGTATATATATATATAAATATATGCATTATTATTGTTCATTATTATTGTTCACTGTCAGATTTTATAAAAACGAACCGCATAAGTGTGTGCAATGTGTAGAGCGAGCGAGGATTGTGTCACAAAAATAAAATTTAATATACTATATTATATAGATATAGGTGTATTTACATTTAGACAGGTACATCGCACATGCACAGCAATATAACAAAATATGATGTTATACAATATATTATTATTTATTACAAAAACAAAAAAACCGGGGTATTGATGAGTATACCTATATTTAGTATAGGTCACTGTAATGTAGATATGTGTTAAATTTGATTTAATACAATGATAAATCAGTGTACGATGAAATACGATGAAAAACAATTCTGAGCAGAGACAGTCTGTTGCAGTCAGTCTATATTTCTAGTGATATATTTACTATAATATATTAATATATTTATATTGCTTTAATAGTACCTAATTTATTTTACTATTAGTAATACGATAGATCGAACTAATTTTTGGAAAACACAAATCGCATATTTTATATAAGAGGACGCTATACCCGGATGTGTTGCCGCCGTCTTACAAAATATGTATAACATATAGCAAAAATGTTTTGCCTAGGAAAAGAACCGAGAAGCCTACAGTCATATCATAAGCAAGAATCGAAATTTTCACCACATAAAAAGGAGAACTTTTACTGTACAATATCGTTTTATTTTTTCGATATCGGAACTTCAAAATTTCAAAAAAGGTATTAAAGTTTAAAAAACACAAACAATAAGAACTTTTTTTGTACAAATGGTATCAAAAAAATAAAAACAATATTTTACAGATAATGTTTTGAACTATATTGTATATTAATTTGAAGTCTTGACTATCACTACAGCCTGAGTGGATCTATCTCGTGAAAAACAAATTTTGCTATGTTGTACATTTGTAAGACGGAGACAACACATGCGGGTGTAGCGTCTTCATATAATTATTATAATATTACAGATAGGTGATTCTTTAATCATGAACCACTTATTATTTCAAAAAGTACTAATGTTTTGAAAACATTTTTTTTTATGGTTTCAAGTTGTTACAAAACGACGGTTTTTAAAACAAATATATATGATCGAAGCCGGAAGCGGAGTGGTACGCGGTTACGGTTACCCCGCAAAATGTTGGTCCAGCTCATTTAAATTTTAAATAGGTACTTATAAGTCATAACTCATAAACTACTATTCCTAAATTTGATTTTTATGCATCGAAATACTCAGAAAAATATTCTGCTTTCGAAGATTAAATAACCCTAAAAAGAATTTTTATTATAAAAACGTTGTTTTGTAAAAACTTGAAACAGTGTGAAAATATATTATCAAAAACATTAATACTTTTTCTAAATAATGAGTGATTTATGATAAAAGAATCACCTGGTATAGTTGTGTTAATTAATTATTAACTTAAAACTTAATAACCCACGTACCACGGTTGTTCATTGTATAAATAGCTTGGAATTAAGCTAAGTATTTTGAAAATTAAATTGTGTATAGTATATCTGTAAATACCAATACCTATGTTGTGGCTAAATGTTTCAAACCCCCAACCTACAAATAATATTGTTCGGATTACAATAAAATAACTAAAACAATTATTTTTCGTTAAAATGTCAAATTTTGTCAAAATTTAAACTTGAAATGTCTATAAAAAAAAGATAAATAGATTTCTGTAATATCAACTTCCGATAAACACATTAATAATTTAAATAACTGACTAAAATAGTAAACTACTGCAGGATAATCGAATATTGCGGGGGGGGGGGGAGCTTCAGTCGATGACAAAGATATATTTGTGTATACACTTCTTAGTGTAGTAACTCCAACAACAAATCGATGAATCCCATAAAGTAACCTACGAGCCACTTAGTAATATCGGATATAAGTACATAAATATTGGTTTTATAATTAGTGTATAACGTTTCGTGTAAAACAAAATAAATCCACTACCTATTACACATTTGTTATAAGCTGTGATACTTATTGAAATGTAGTTTACATTACACAGGTTCTAACTTCTCGAACAAAATAATTTAATCTAAACAAATATATGATCGCGTTGAAACATAATACTATAAGTACTAGCTACACTTTTATAGCCGTTAATGATTTATTACAAAAACAAAGCTTTTAACATATTTTTTTTATTAATGCACTTCCAAATAAAAACATACCTACATATTATAAATTTTTTTGGATGAATTCATGTTTTATATAGTTCGACCTGTTCGTATGCACGAAGCGTTAATTTTTCAGCATTAACAACGGAGAAACGTTCCAAAAAAAAAAAAATAAAAAACATTAATATATAATATACCTATATAGGCAGTAGGTAGGCGTATTTAGTTCCTGCGTCTTATTTTGGCTACAGGTGGTGAGAGCCCATGCATTCCAAAGGGTACACGTACGCACGTACACGCACACACAAGAAAATAATAAGCAATTCTGACGATGTCAAAAATACATTTTGTAACCAAAAATAATTGGCAACCAGGTGAAGTATCTCACGAAAAAAGACATTACGGATATATAAAATTAAATGCGGTGCGACAGTGAATAAAACATACATATTATACACTGTGTGAGGTGTGATAATAGATTTAGCCAATAATAATAATAATAAAAAAAAAAAGCCTAGCAGAACTTTAGGTCTATAATATAATGTGTATGTACAGGTGCTCTGCAGCGATTAACAAGCAACAAATTGCTTGTGATTTTTCTTTTTATATAACTTATCCTAACCAATGTGCATTTTTGGTGTTTAAATAGCTTAGTTATAAGAAAATATTAAAAATATACGTTTAGTTATTTACTGCAGTAATGAAAAATATCACCAAATCTTACCATAATAATATCATCCTATGCAAAGTTTAAATAAAACGATGAATTTTTCTTATAATCTAATATTCGAATGTTTTTTTTTTATTATATAAATTATAACATTTATAACTTTACAGCCCATACAATTTTCATCTGAAAACTTGGCACAAAAGTTATATTATGTACATAATGTTTATTAATATACATACATATGTAGGTATATTATACACAATTTAAAAATTATTGAACGTTTCATAAAAGATGGTTTACATTTAAATATTATTTTACATCATTGTGAAGTTTATACAAAATATAAACGAACTGAATTTTTATAGTAAAATTTTTGTAAATGTATAAAATTGTAGAACATGACAATACTTAAAAAATCTGATGCAAAAGTGTTATAGAAAAACAATCATTTATTTATATTATTTATATTATGTATATCTTTATTTAGTTGTTATTGAAAAAAACTATGTTTATTGAATTGGATACTCATATATAATTTGATTTTTCAATACTAAAATATAGAGTACGAAAAGTAAGTCTGGTGGCACATTGCATTCATAAAGATATATCAAATGGAAACGACTAGAATTATTTTATATAAGCTATCTTGATGTATACATAATTCAAATGTAACTGTCATCGTACACGAGTATAATATATTATAACCGAATGATATTATTCTTAGTGTTTAAATTAAATATTTTTTATTAGGTGACGAAGAAAAACGACCGACTTCATGATACTAAAATAGTAGTATATAATGTGTAGTACATAATTTTATATTTTACATGTCTGTTATTCAATACCAAAATGTTCGAAATAATACCGGAATCAGTAATTAGTTAAAATTACTGAAATAAACGAGTCTGTTGGATTCAAAGCTATACGTCATATATAAACTATTGTCACATACTCGCATGGCTATATTTAACATATTGTTTAATATTGAACATCAAAAATTATAGGACAATGCAGCAGAAAAAGAATTAGGCAGGTAAATTGTTTCTTGTATAGGCCACAGTAGTAAAAATATCAGTACCCAGCTAAATTATTTTTAACTGTACATTCAATTATCGCGTTTATGTTACTATACTGGACGTGAGTATCTGGTCAAGGTTAAATATGTAATTACTTAGAATTTATACTATAAAAAGGCCAATGAAGGCAATTTATATAATATAAAGAAAAATAATTTTAAAAAAATGTTCAAATGAGATACATAGTATATTACTCATGCGGTAGGAAGTTTTCTATACTAACGTTATATAACGTAAAGGATTAATTTAATTGAATTGGTGATTCTCTAGAGTATTGAGGTACTTATACTTAGGTAATATATATGTATAGTATATAATAATATTATGTATTGCGCTTACCAGATACGATTCGGGTGGATAAACGATGAAGTGGCGCAACGTGAAACCGAATCCATTTTCTGACCGGCGTATAAATAGTGACCTGGGACCACCAGCTCTATGTTCTCCACGGTTTTGGCCCTGTAAAAATAAAATTAAAACAATTCAAAATCTCAATCGTTTCAAGCTACATATACGGAAACGGAATGCTATCCATACAATACAAATATTTTATAAATTTTAGGTAAAGACGTTACTTATATATTATATTATTGATAATAAATATTGCTAACTAAAAATGTAACTAATATAACTAAAAAATGTCTTCTAGAAAACTGTACCCATTATTCAATATATTCAGCGGGTCCTTGAAATGTCATAGTGTTTGGGTACAATATATAATACGTATATAGAAATAAAATATTAGCTATAATACGTCGTAGTCGCTTTATCTCGGTGTCTGCGAGATGTATACCTATATGAACGGGGTCATTCGTGATCGTTTAACAAATAAATAATATTAATTCAAGAAGTAGTAGAAAATACTAAATAGAAATCATTACTTAGTCTTTACAACTGTAATGATGGATTTCTGTTATGTTTATAGACACAGTAATTAATATTTTATTAGGTTTTTTAAAAAATTGAATATGCAATTATGTATTATCATGTATGTACTACAGATACAGATGGTTTTTAAACTGTATAGGTATACTATACGTATAGTTGTATGTATTTTAAAACTAAATTTGATTAACAGTCTCGGCAGTCCCGCCAAACACGGTTATACAACTTATTGACAAGATGAATAAATTCAATACACTTATTATTTTGTTCTAGAGCGTTCAGACCGTATATTTGATATAATTGCAATTTCGTATAAATGTTAAATATGTCATTAACTCGCATTATACTGATCGATAGCGATCGATGTAAGTATAACAAATACAACATTTATTTTATTACAGCGGAGGTGTGCGACAGAATCCTGTCCTTTTATGGACGAATATGAATATGAGTCGAAACCAGATTCTCGCACAGAATATAATATACCCAATCAAATGATACTGAAACAGTGAAACCACTACCTATATAGATCTCATTATTCGCCATGTAAGGTACCATGTCTCAGCAATGAACAACATTTGTTTTTCAAACACACTAATGCGAAGTGAACGTTGAAAACACAAGATTTTTCATATTTTATATTTTTTTCAAAATGTATTTTTCAAATATCAATGTGATATAGTGACGTTAATAATATTCGATGCATGTCTGATAGAAAAAAAACTCTGTTCAACGAATAATAGTATAGCCTCTTTATGTCACCACACATATTGAAACCACTTGCGTGTTGGTGTTATTATTGTATACATTTTAGTCTTCGAGGATGAAAACGATTTTTTAATTTCTTACCATAAATAATAAATTATTAATTTATAATATTGTTATATACGAAGTTAATGTGTATGATAAACCAGGCCTTTAAAACGCTATATTATGGCATATGTAAACATTTTTACCATCAGGTGTTTGTTATTACCGTTTAGGTCCAAACGAGATATAATTTTTTAACGGATCTTTGTTAAAATTATCTCATTCCGGTCTAAATTCAACATTTTTGGATTCATTTTAAAACTATAATCTGGTAATTTAGTTAGATCATAAAACTTAAGATTGGGCAACTATAACTTTGTTCAAGATTCAAGTGAAAGAGGTACTTTTAAATTAAAGTAGTAAGGTTGTTAAATTCGATTAATATCGTTAAATACTAATAATAACAATAAAAGTATAACAGGTACTTGTACTATAATAGCAGGTATATTATATGTATAATTCAATCAAACAATTGTGTAAACCAAAAATATTTGTTGCCAGAATTTATACAGAATTGTTGTCAAATTCTAAACAATAAACATTCAAATAGTTCCTGGCACGGCATCATATATAAATAAGGGTATTATCAATAACTGTCTGTTATGGGTTTATGGCCGAGTTCCCCCTCCTTGATGTCCCTAGGAATAGAATCATTTCCACGAGGATAAGCACAGCGGCGTCACACCAATTAATAACACTATTAATCATCGCCAGTAGTGACTGTGTCGACGATAAAAATCATCATCGATCTCGATTTTATGTATTACGATTCGAACGTTTGTCACACAGAGCAAACGTATACAAACGGTTGACGACTAAAGTAAATACAATAGATAAATAAAGACATATTTTGTACATAATATTCGTTATAGATTTTATGCGTGTAGGAACTTACGTATGCATACCCACCGCATGGATGATTTTTACCTTTTACGCTATAGGGTGGGAACTTACATTAGTAACGTATTTCCATCCTTCACTTACATTCTCTCACTCTTGAAATCTGTAGCTCTCTTTTCCATTTCTATTGCAATAATAATATAAGCACGTGATGATCGTTTTCTGCCTCACCATATTCTATTGTACATAGGAGTATGTCGATAGTCACTCAGAAAGAACGAAATTCACGACGGAAATAAAATTCGCTGGAAGATCTATATTATAGTACATAGGCGACAATGATCCGTAAGTACTTACAATTTTATTAAATTATAAAATAAAAATATTATTACTACTATTAATTATTTACAACCATTCCATTGACCGTCTCTTCATACTCGTCACTCATTCACTCGCATCTTAATCCAAGCAACAGTAATAAAATGAAAGATCTCGAAGATGACTATTATTATTATTATCATGAGTTCTGAGCGCACGCGTGCGCACAAACGCATCACGTACTGACGTCTGACACAGTAGTTGTCATAAATATAACTCTGGCTAAAGCAACTCGCGTGCCCTCGCGCTCGCCGGTAGCGTGTCGTTCGGTATACTAGAATATATAAAATTATGTATAACTTAATATAATATATTATACAGAGCAATTCATCAAGCATGCTGACCCTCGTATTACCATTAGGTAATAATGAATTTAATGAAATTATTTTTCGAATTTTAACCTAAGTGTATTACTTAAAGAGCATATTTTAAAAAACCGCTTAATTTTTTTGTACCATTTAAGGGGTGTCCTGTGGACTGTGTCTATACCAACTTTTTTTTCTCATAAAAATCACTTTTAACCAATCAATTGTTAATCAGGTAAATTTTTTGAAGAATATGATATATTCAAATCGAAATTCGAATTGGTAGTTTTTTAGTTAATTAACATTGTGTAGATATTAAGGATAACCATGAAAACATTTTTAGAAGATATGGTGGCTATGATTTAAAAATTATAGATGTAGATTATAGGTACTACTCATTCGTATTTTATTTATTAAGATACATCATCATCTGTTTACAGTAAAACAGATTGATTCACCGTTCACATAAAAAAAGAAATTTGTACGGTGTGAACGGTATATGTCCCACCTTAGGACACTCATAAAATGATATCTAAAAATCAAAATAATTGAAAATGTAATTTTCATGTATACTTAAAATAAATCAGAATATTTTGAATAAATTATTAAAATGGGGGTGGTATGCATAGTGAAATATTTTGTACACATATATAGACACCTATTATTATTATTGTTGTAGTGGCGCACGCACACGTTGGAGATGCATAATATTATTTTGTCACGCGGTTGTTTTCACAATTTTATTATTATCACACGGCGGCGACGATAGAGGATAGTTGATTTGCACACGTACTTTATGCACTCAAACGCACGCGTGTATAATAATATTAGAACTATATTATGCAGCTTAATGCCGACCGGCACTAATCCGCCTACCGTTACTTCCTCATCTGATGACCAGCCAAATAATCGCTCGGAATTTCCATTATTATTTTCACTGTAATAATATAATATTGTGCATTTCGTTCGTCAATTGTCGCCAAATCCCCCTTCCCGTCACCATCACCCAACGACCAACTGCCAACGACAATCGACCACACGTCCGCATCACGTTTACCCCCCAGTGGAGAGATGCATATAAAAATAATATGCTACACAATGATAATAAATAATAATATAATGGTATGCGAGTAAAATATTATAACTCATAATAATAACATAATTATGGAGAACGTGAAACAGCGACCACAACGGCCGACAGGTACACGTTATCATTATATTCGGCTGCAACCTACAACCAAATTTGCTTGGATATTTTACTCAATACGTGAAATTACAGCCAATAAAAATTAATATAAATTATATTGTTTAGTGTTTACCACCTGATTTTAATGCAATTTGTTATGTGCGTATGTATAATATAATAAAAATAGCAACACACCAATAGGCAATAATAATAAAATAACACCAATAACACTATAACACCGAATAATAAACTTAACTGGTCGAACTATATTTAAATACATTATACGTGCAACATGCTAAGTAGCGATGATGATAAATGATAATATTTAGGTAGGAATAAACTATAAACATTTATGAGAATAATACCATATTACACCCCGGGAAAATAATAACAACAAATTAATGTGACAGTTTTGGATTTTGGATTTTTTTTTGGTTGATTGCTTGTTTTTATTTTTATTAAAAATACATAAGAACATATTGTGAAAATTTACAATCTATATTCTATAATATTTAAATTAATAAGAAAATTGTATGAGGGATAACAGAAAAAACTGTATGACGTGATGGAAGACATTATTACTCCAGATTGTTTACTTTAGATACTTATGTAGGGAGGTCAAGCAATGTGCAAACGGTTCAACCTCCATGTGAGGTCCATAAAAATAGGTACTTATATAGGAATTTGCACAGTATGGAATATATTTTGATTTCAACGTCACGTCACTGGCAAGTGTAATATAATATTAGATATTATATACTATCCACAAAACAATAAAGACAAATAGTCGACATCGATGCAATTGGATTAATTAATAGGACATGGTGCTTAATGCGTATATGCAGTACATAAATCGGGACGGATCCTATGTATAGGAGTGTCGAGGCGGAAGACGAATGAGTCAGACGAAAGTGAACAAAGATGATGTATTTTAAATCACGAGCGTACGGTTCAACGGTTCACACCCAGACCCAAAGCAGTAACTTACCAGAATCATCATGTATATATTTATTGTTAGTATACTGTAGTCTACTGTGACTAAAAAAAAACCGTTT